ATGCAGAGGGTGGCTGCGGGCTGGGGCCGCCGTCTGGGTCGTGTGGCTGCTCTGCCACTGCCTTGGTCAACAGACCTGGCTTGTTCTGCTGAGCAGGGCTCTCGCCGTGGGCTCACCGGGCAGTTTGGTGAGCGCTCCGTGATGTCCGTGCGTGAGGGGTGACAGCCCAGTTTTCCCTCTGCGATGGTGCCTGCTGTGCTAGTGCAGCTGCTTTGAAGAGGCAGGTGTAGGACCTGTAGGCTTCAATTTTTGTCCAGTCTTTTTGTTGGTGGACATTCCAGTTTTCACCTACTTTGCTCTTCTAATGGCATGGTTTGCTTCTTGTACACTCAGTGAGAACCCAGGGAATGGCTTCATTTTTTGCAGTGGCTGAGCCTGAAATTCCCGCCAGAAGCAGGGCTGGTTTGCTCGCTTACAGCTCCTGGAAAACCAAGCAGGTCCTGGTTTGCGGGCTGCTCACTGTGTCTTGGTGTGTTTTGGTGTGTGCTGGAGGTGCAAAACAGGTGGCGTGCTGCTCCTGGCCCCAGGTCTTTTCAGACTGAAGCTCAGAGCATTTTTTCCTTTAAAAAAACACATTATTGAAAAAAACACTGACAAGAGTTACTCTTTGAAACTGAAGCAAAGGTGCTTGTGTGCGTTGCAAAGGGTTTCTGACATGTGGAAATACAGAACAGCCATTCATGTGGGCCTGCACTGTTTACCATGAGTGTGACATGGCAAGTTTACTTTGAATAGACAGCACATGAGTCAGTTTGTGCTATTTGTATTTGACTTTGCAGAAGAGGAGATGAGTCACACTTCAGCATCAGAACATCTCACTGAGTTTTGATGACTTTTTTTTGTTTTTTTTCCCTTTCTTCCTTCCCGTCGGTTTTGGGGGTTGGAAGAGGAGAGCTTGTGACAGCAGCTCTGAGCAGTGCTGCCTTCACGGCTGGTCTTGCTGATCTCCCCACTGTGCTGGTAGGGATGCTGAGAAAGGGAAGATGTTTCTCCAGAGCGGTTAAATACGCCTGAGCTAGTGACCTTATTTCTCCTGTTATTTCCTTCCAACAGTGATCTTCTGGCCAGGTGTTGGAGAAGCACAGTTAGCAGTCAGGTCCAGTCGCAGGCGGCAGTACATGAAAAGAAGCTGTTACCCAGTGGGGAGGTTTTCCACCTCGCCCCCCAGCTCCTGTCCCTGCTTATTGCTCTAACTTTTTACCCACTGCCTTCATTTCACTTGGTCGCTTTCCAACCTTTCTGCATCATGAGCAAGTCAAAAGCCTTGATTACTTTTTACTGCAGGCTGCACTACCTGGAAAACTTACCTGGAGTCATTAGTCAGAGAAACTTCATTTCTTAGATAACTGTGGTCTTTTAAAGACTGATCAAACCCTGTTCAAAAGGTGGCAGCCACTGGCTTTCTGCTGTCTGCTGGCCGAGTCTCAGTCCTTAATGTAAAAGCATGTGGAATGCCATTTTTTTTCCTTGCAAAAAGGGTCTAAATGCGAAACTGTCTTTAAAAGTCCTTTAATTCATAAGTAACTACTTGTGGGCTCAGCCTTTTGTGTCCTTGTGGCATGTCCGATGGAGATAGTCCTGACATCCTGATGATAACTCTTACCAAAGCTGTCAGTTAACTTCCTAACCACCCACTGCATATCACAGTCTGAGAATGTCACGCTTACCAAGGCGTTGAATTTCCACAAACTGAACAATTAATTTCTTTTGTCACAGTAGCAGTATTGGCTCTGCCTTATTATGTCAGTAAAAATGATGTTCTTTAGCTATGCATATACTACTACCTGTGGTAGGTTTAAACTTATATTGCATAAGTTTGATACTGTCAGATGAGTTTTTCTTCACATTCCAGAGGCAGAGTCAGGACT